CCAATGCATAACCCACTATGCCAACAGGGTTCCTTAGTATACATTATAACTTATTATTTCATATACATAAGTTTTATCTGTCAAACCTAACCTTAATTATTAGTTCTATTGTTTAAAATCTTTCTTACATCTCTCTTAAAATTCCTCTTTTATATCTCTCTACTGCAAGGATGATGAATACAAAACTGATACTTTTAAAATTGTTTGCACGTTGATTTTAATGAAAAAGGCTTCAAAAAGTCCATGGAAAAATGGAATGAAAAGATAATGGAATTTTTCCACAAATGTTTTGAAGCCCTCTTTTAACAGCCATCAAAATTGATAAATTATTTCATTTTCTTACCTACCCAGAGACACTGACAACTAATACATTTTTATTGGGCCACATATGTGACCTTAAAAAGTCAGATGTCTTAGGCAGTTGAAATTATGTAGGACAATTGGATTTGAGCTTGTCAATTTCAGTTACGTACTTTTACTACAAGGAGTATGTGATATGAACCACCTTGCTTTTAGTTACTTGACTTGTGTGTAAAATCATCAAAGAGCATTCTGTAATTTTACTCTCATGCTAGTAATTCATATTATTGACATTTTTAGAAAAAACAGAATGGAACATTCTGTCGCTCTGATCTCTGACTATAATTAAATTGGCCTATATTGGTCCACTGAAAAGTCAAACATAAAAACTCACCAGTAAGAATTTCTTTCTTCACTTTGAAAGTGTCCACAACAGGTGTAATAATCCCTTCAATAGTTCCAAACATGCTGCCGAGCCCTAGGTTTACCAGCATGAGGAAGAACATCACTGACCAGAAGGGAGATGCAGGGAAATGTGTCATCGCTTCTGTAAAGGCAATAAAGGCTAAACCAGTGCCCTGAACAGCCTGCAAAATGTATCAAAATAGTAACATTAGCAGAATCAAAAAGCAACATGCAGTGCGGCCTCTCCAAGGGGAGGGACACTTGACATCTCTGAAAAATAACCTTAGATTATTGAAAATAACATGTTGATTATGCTGATATCAGCATTCTAGCTGTTTGATCACTTTCTTCTCAGAAACCAGATTTAATTTGATAATATAGCACAAACAATGAAATTCTATTCAGAATTGCTAAGAGCACACAGTTATACTGTATTGTATGCTAAGCATTTCATATGAGTGATAGAATATATTTTCTCATTAACTTCAAAATGATTTAATCAATTAGTATAAAGAAAACATAAATTGTGAATAATAAACTTGTTATAACTGAAATAAAAGTGTCCTGGTGGTGAAGTGGGATAAGCTCCCAGAAATCCTACACAGGTCATTTAAGTAAGAACCAACCAAAAGGTCAGCAGTTGAAACCCACCAGCCTATCATTAGGAGAAAGATGAGGCTGTCTGCTCCTTTAATAAATTTACAGTCTCAGAAACATTAAGGAGCAATTCTAATCTGCCCTCTAGGTTTATACTATGAGTCCAAATCTAATGAGTAGCAGTTAAATTTAAATAAGTATGAATACTAAACAAAAGGTGAACGATTCATCAGATAATTTAAAAAGTCAATTCTTCTTTTATCTTAACAAAAATCAACTTCTTGTTATTCTTACACCTCCCTGTAAAGCTTGGCTTTCTATAATTCAGGTGATACAGTGAGTTTTCCAGCTATTTAAATGATTATACATTCTGAGTGTTTTTGTGTGCATCCAAAAAAATAAACAGACAGAATAGAAGCAAATACTGTTGAATGATGATGCACAGAGGGGATGGTAATCATTGCAATGAAACGATAAATAAGTGTGAAATCAGTGTTCTCCCATGTAAACTATCACTCAAATCCCAATAAAAACTTTTTTTTAAAAAAAGAAAAATATTTGTCTAATTTTCATTTTCTTTGATAAAAATGAATGTAATTCATATTCATATTTTAAATTATCATGGTTCAATCAGTAAATGATTTTTCTTTAAGTAAAGCAAGCTTTATGATTTAAGAAATCATGTTCTCTAAAATATAGACTATTAATTTAAAGGAGCATACCCCTCCACTGGCATTTTAAAGGCTATTTTGCTGAAAAAGATGCACATTTTAATCGTGTGATAATTACTGTATTGATAAAATTTAGCCAACTCACTTTATTTAGCTCATCTTCAATGTAACAGGAATTGAGATGAAGTGCAGGAAATTCTTCTTCTTTCACTTTTTGAATGATGTCATAAACTAAATGATAATCCTCTGCAGTAACAAGTGAAAAGTTGATATGATGAGGAATAATATCCTGACTAATGTTGCCCATTTTCAACAATTTTATGATCATCTCTGAGTTTCTGAAAAAACAGAACATATTAATGAACACTTAGGGTTGGTTAGTCAGGTTCTAGTTTGTATACAATTATGCTGTCAAAAGTTAAAGGAAATTCATATCCATACTGTGCAATGCAGTTTTCATTTATGATATTTGCTTTGAAGCCCAGAACTGCAAACACTACCAGTGTTGCCAGGACAGAAGTGAAAAAATTGATGAAGGACACCAAGACAGCATCAAAGTGGCAGTTGTTGTCTCTCTTGTTGTAGCTTGAAAAGGCAATTACGCCACCAAATCCCAGACCTAATGCAAAGAACACCTGAGTAGCAGCTTCTCTCCAGACCTTGGGCTCCAGCATTATTTCAAGCTGTTCAAAATTAAACATAATAGATGTCAGCTGCACAATATTTCAAAATAATTCATCTACATGGAATTAGTTCTTCTTTAAATTTATTTCAGTGATATTTATGCAACCAATGGTTATTAAAATCTGGAAGATGAGCTGTTCTTCAACAGAAATAACCAAAATTTTCATTTTGAATAAAACAAGAACCATGTATATGAAAAAGACTATCATTCCCCTAAAATGGAGATTTAATGTACCTGAAGATTATCTACTTGGATAGGAATTGTAAACTATTTTGAAGACAAATTATCAAAAGTCTATATGAAAGAGAAAAGAAACTGTCTTCAATTACTTCTTCATCTTATCTCCTATTTAGTTTCGTGGCACTACAGGATGGTGGTTCCAACCCACCAGCCACTCCTCAGAAATCCTATTGTTAAGTGCTCTGGAGTTGGTTCTGATTCATAGCGACCCTGCTAGATAGCATTTTCAAGGAGCAGCTGGTGGGTTTAAACAGCTAATCTTAGAGCAGCTGAGACCAATCTTGTAGTCCAGGGCATTATCCTGCAGTGCCACACCAGGACTCCCAGAAATCCTAGACAGGTCATTTAAGTAAGAACCAACTAGAAAACTCTTAATGACAAAAAGCCAAAATAAAGTAATTAACAATGATAGTTAATTACTTAACTAATGCTCTAAGTTTTGAATTTCCTAGTGGTAGTCTCATAGTCCAGTACATAGCTAGATATTTGGCACAAAATATACTGTGCATAGCTACTGTTGTTGTTAAGTGCTGCTGAGTCAGTTCCAACTCACATCAACCCTGTACAGGGTTTCTGGGGAACAGCTGATGAGCTTGCGATTCAAACTGACTTTGGAGTCCAGTTCATTAACTCACAGAGCCACATCAGAACTCCATACTGCACATATTCACCTTTATATCATTCATTCATTCAAAGGCTTTCTGAGAGCCTTTATTTAAAAAAAGAAAGAAAGAAATTCAACTAATTCTTCTCTAAGATTTGATTTCAGATCCAAAATTCTAATGTTACAGATCTGTGCTGACCATATATATTCTAATAATTCTGCTTTACTTCTTAATTATCCCTCTATAGATTCAGATCTTTCTAATGAAACAGTTATTCTTAGCCATCTCTGACATTAAACCCACTGCTATCGAGTAGAGTCTATCTCATCGTGACCTTGTGGAGTATTAGACACATATCACAATAAATGCTCAAATTTAAGTTGATATGTTGTTGTTAAGTGCCATCGAGTCAGTTCCAACTCGTAGCAATCCTGTATAGGATTTCTGAGGAGCAGCTGGTGAACTTGAATCGACAAGCTTGCAGTGCAGCACATTACCCACAGTGCCACACCAGTACTCCTTAAAATGATACAGTCTAGTTTAAGTTGATAGTTTTTCTCCATTTTACCATTGCAATGAAATTGTCTCTACTAGGAGCTGAGAGTAGTTAAGAACTTGAGTTTTACATTTTTAGAAGATACTGATTTTGCTATTTAATAATGTAATAGTAGTGGTCTGTCCTCTCTGAGCTTCAATTTCCTCAACTATGAGAAAAACAAACTTTGTGTAGCCTATCACGGTGCCTACTACATTGCAATAATGCTATATATGGCATTCTGGCACAGTACTACAGAATAAGCACAAGGTCAGTAGTTCAAATCCTACACAGAGTTGCAGAGACAGAAGCCACTCAATGATACTTAACAATGACATAAATACTTCTTATGAATTATTGTATTCGACTCGTATTGTTGTTTTTGTTGTTGTTGTCACGTGCCATCGAGTCAGAACCGACTCATAGCGACCCTATGCACAACAGAATGAAACAATGGCCAATCCTGGGCCAACCTCACTACCGCTGCCACACTTGACGCCATTATTGATGCCACCTGGCCAATCCATCTCGTTGGGGGTCTTCCTCCTTTTCTCTGACCCTCCATCAACTCGTATTACAACATAATTATTTTATTTCATTCTCATAACAACCTATGAGGTTGTTACTACTAATATCCGAGTCTTAGAAATGTTAAGTAATCTGTCAAAGGTCACACAGCAAATTTATGATGGAGCTGAGATGTAAACACAAGTAGATTCCAAAACCCACTGTCTCAACTACTGGAATTTTTGCTTCTGTTTTAGTTATTATTGCTAAAATAAATAAAATATCCTCAACAAACATAACCATGATTCTCTATTAGTATGTAAGATGTGCATACTGTTCTTTTGAGTATGTTGTCAAGTGCCACTTTGCAATCCAGCACATCAACCCACAGATGGAGCTAAAATACACTCAACTGTATAGCTTGACTTTGTCCACTAGATGGCAGTAAGGGCCTGTTTACTAAAGACTTGTCCAATTACCTCCATTTCTGCGTTTATTTTCCATTCACTTTCCTCCTAGTAAGGAGCCCTGTTGGCAATGTTGTTGTTTTGTTATTGAGTGCCTTCTCCGACCCATAGCGACCCTGTACAGGGTTTCCGAGGCTGTAAATCTTTATAGGAGCAGAAAGCCTCATCTTTCTCCCACGGTGCAGCTGGTAGTTTCGAACTGCTGACCTTAAGGTTGGCAATACTAGGTAAGCACTAAACATGTATGAATTGGAGTCAACTCTATGGCATTAGGTTTTCGGTTTCTCCTAGTAAGGAGCCCTGGTGATATAGTGGGTTAAACATTGTGCTACTAATAGCAAAGTCTGCAGTTTAAACCCACCAGTCACTAGGCTGGAGAAGATGAAGTTATCTGCTCCCTCAAAGATTTACAGTATCAGAAATCTTTAGGTAGTGTTCTAACTTGTCCTATAGCGTTGCTCTAAGTAGGAATCAACTCAATGGCAGAGCATTTGTTTGGTTTATTTGGGGAGGGGGGCGGTCCTGTATATTTTTGTGCTTAGGTACTTTCTTCCATTTACAGAAATGTGAATTAAAAAGTAATAAAGACAACTACTGAATATCATTATATTAAATATCACATGGAAACCAACTTGAGGGCACTTAACAACGCCAATAACAGCAATAAGAATCCTTGTTTAAAATGTTAATGTAAAATAGCTTGCATGTAAATATTGAAATGTTTATAAATGTATTTAAAAATCTAAACTATCTAATGAAATCAAATGTCTAGCATTATGTCACAGGCAATTGACAATTTAGAAAAAGTTCACATTCTAGAAATTAGGTATTTTTAACTCAGTAAACTTTTGCTTTTCAGTATTAAAAATGTAAATAACTTTTGGTATTATTATGGTCCACTTGAAGCCAATTTAACCAGTGTTGTTGTTAAGTGTTGTTGAGTTAGTGCCATCTCAGAGCGAATCTGTACAGTATTTCTCAGGATCAGCTGGTGGATTTGAACTGCAGACCTTGCAGTTAGCAGTCCAGTGTTTAGCCTATTGTTGTTAAGTGCCTTCAAGTCAGTTTCAACGTAGTGATCTAGTATAGGGTTTTCAAGGAGCAGCTGGTGGGTTTCAGGTGCCATCCTTGCAGTTAGCAGTCCAGTGCTTATCTTACAGCACCACACCAGGAGTCCATTTATCCTAGAAAGTAGCTGAAATATATGCATCTTCACTGGTTAGTCACTGATGGGAAGTCCCAACAACTCTAAATGTTAAACAGGAAAATGAATACAAAGGATCCTAAGGAAGCTAATCCCTTCTGCCCAAATTCCACAGCAAGATGCTAACTCCCCATTCATCCTTCAGAATACTTCCAATTTCTGAACCAATTGTTAAGTTGTCTCTTTAAAACTCAGTGTGTGTCTATGATGATGTTGTTATTGTCATGGAGTCAATCCAAGTCATAGCAACTCTGTACTGTACTGAATCTCTGAAGAGCAGCTGGTGGATTTGAACCACCAGCCTTATAGTTCCCAGTCCAGTGCTTATCCTACAGTGCCACAACAAGAATGCCTGTCTATGATGTTATTGTTGTTAATGCCTTCAAGTTGGTTCTGACTCACAGCAACCCTGTATATGATTTCCGAGAAGTGGCTGGTGAGTTTGAACCACAGCCCTTGCAGTTCAAACTGACCTTGCAGTCCAGTGCATTAATGCACAGTACCATACCAGGGCTCTGTCTATGATTGTCGTTGATGTCCTGACCCATAGCAACCCTATATAGTCGGTTCTGGCCCATAGCATCCCTGTTTAGAGTTTCTGAGGAGCATCTGGTGAGCTTGAACCTCCAACCTTATGGTCGGTTCAATCCGACTTTGTAGTCTGGCACATTAGCCCACAGTGCCACACCAGGACTCTGTCTGTGATAGTGTGATCAAATGAAAAGTGAGTTACAACACCCTGTCATATCACTATAGCAAGTCCACAAGTTTGGGGTTCAATATGCCAAAGTTCTAATGAATTAAAGGAGTATAAACCGTGAGCTCTTTATGAAGCCTAATGAGAATTTTCCTGAAATGTATATGGCATTTGTAAAAGATGCAGAACTATGCAAAATGACCACTATAAATATTATTCTAAAAGGTACAAAGTATTAAAACATAAACAAGAAAACATATATTTCCCCTGAGATGGCATTTTAGGATTCATTAAAGTACTCAATCAGAAGTCAATGTGATTTTGGAATCTACCAACCTCCTGAAACACTAATAAAAATTAAAATTAACATGTTCTCACTTTTTCCTTGTAAGATGATCCACATCTATTACCAATTTCTTAAAGGGGTACATGACATAAAATAGAGGAACAACAATGAATTGAATGAAGTTTAAAAAGTTTTCAAATTTATCAATGAAAATAATTTATGATAAAAGTGGAATTTTTGAAGCTTAAATACTTAATGGTTACTCTAGAATCTACATGGGACATTTAAAGATAAAGTTAAAGACAGACAGATATAGATATTTAAAAACCCTGTTTTTTATAAAATGGTTAACATAACTATAATATAAAATGCTAAAAAAATTATCTCTTAAATCTAACTGCAGAAACATTTTAATAATAAGCACACTACTTTTATGATCATACCATTAAATAAAAATGTAGTACATACCTTAGGGGTAAACATGTGACGGATGCCATCAATTGAACCATTTAAAAGGAGTGCTCTGATTAGGAAGCATATAAGTACCACATATGGGAAAAGAGAACTAAAATACATGATCTGAAAAGAAAGAAAATAAAATATATGTGAGGCACACTAGCAATTATATTACTTTTCTTTAATTAAAATAATATGTATTCTGTTCTATACTTTGTTGCTGCTGCATGCTAGGCGTCAGTTCTGTCGCATAGCAACCCTGGATAGGGTTTTGCAGGCTGTAACATCTTTCTCCTGCAGAGTGACTGGTGGGTTAGAACAGCTCCCCTTGCAGTAAGTAGCTCAACTTGTAACCCACTACACAATAAGGAAGTCTTACACTTTGACAGTCACCATACTGTGAAATTCACCATTTTTTGTATAAAGTTGTTGGTTTATTTTCCAGGCCATTTTATTAAAGTGGCTTATTAGTGTGACTTAGTTAGCGTATGGCATCCTGATGTGGCAATAAGCACTTGCCTGCAAGCTGAGGCTGAAACATGAGGTCAGTGGTTCAAACTCACCTGCCGCTTCTTGGAAACGCTATACAGGGTCACTATGAGTCAGAACAGACTCAACTGCACTTAACAACAATATAGGATACAAGGAGAAAAGAGAAACCTTCTTTACTTAATCTCCTTAGAAATAGTGCATAGGTATGGTGTCATTTAAATAGTGTTGATTACTTGTCATCATAAAACAAGCAATATTTAAGACAGAAATTACTGGACACTAAGTCTCCTCGTGTGGCACTGTAGGAGCTAAGCACTCAACCATTCACGAGGTTGGTTTGATATGTAAGGTTGGTGGTTCAAACTCATCAGTTGCTCCTCAGAAACCCTATAGAGGGTCGCACTGAGTCAGAACAGACTCGACAGCATTAACAACGACTCTCAATCGAAGCCCATACTTTTATTACTTTGAGGCGGAAGGGGGATTTTGTTTTGTTTTAATCAAAGTTCCATTATTACTTTATGGAAATCTTAGAAAATGGAAGGTGGCCCCTATATTGTCTGCTACAGAACCTGAAAAATTAGCCATATACAAATTTTATTTTCTGCTAAGCAGTTTTCTCAATTAAACAGTTGTGCAAATATTTATCATAGGAAAGAAATTATTCTAATCAGACAGTCATTGCCTCCCTGACATTTCCATGTGGGGGCTTAATTGATCTCTCAAACCTTTCAAATCCAGAAAAAAACTGCTTTCCTCCCAGAGCTGTTCCCACTCATCATCTCAGTAAATGGTACTAACATCCATCTGGTAGCTAAAGGCAAACACCTCGGAATAGTCATAGTCTTGAAGTATTTGTAATAATCTACTCACTGATTTCCAGTTGCCACTTGGGTTAAGTCATTCTCTGCTTAAAACACCCTAGAGATTTTTAAATATTTGAAATAAAATGCAAACTCTTTCTGGCCTGTAAAGCCTGACAGTTCCCACCTCCTGCCCCACTTGGCTTCTCCCAGCTGAGCTAGAGTCCCTTAGTAGAGCTGGGTCTTCTGTCTGAAGCACTCTCCTTCAGCTCCACATGATTCGCTCCCTCCTTGTTAACAATTTAAGTCTCATCTTCATTTTCTATCAGTTCTTCTTTAATGACTCAGTCTGAGCTCCACCTTTTTCATCCAATATCACCCACCTAACAGTCAGCCCCTTAGTCCCTATTAATTCTTAATGGTATGACCTTGTTTTGTTTCCTTGGGAGCCCTGGTGTGACACTATGGGTTAGTGCACTGGACTGCAAAGTCGGTTTGAACTACAAGGTCAGTGGTTTAAGCTCACCAGCCCCTCCTTAGAAACCGTATACAGGGTCACCATGAGTCGGAACCAACTTTGTGGCACTTAACAACAACAACAACACATTGCTTAAACCAGTTGTCAAAAGGGTTTACTCCACAGTGACCCCATGAATATCAGAGTGACAGTGATTTATAAGGTTTTGCGACAGTAGGGCTCCTAGGTTTTCTGGAAGGATCCCTGGTGGAACAGTAGTAAGCACTTAGAAGCTAAATGAATGGTCAGTGGTTCAAACCATCAGCCATTCCATGGGAGAAAGATGTTGGCACTCTGCTCAATCTTACAGGGCCAGAGCCACTGTGAGCTGGAATCAACTTGATGGTAGTGGGAATTTTTTTTCTGAAGTAGATCACCAGACCTTTCTTCTGAAGTACTTCCAGGTACCCATGAACCACCAGCCTTTCAGTTAGCAGTCAAGAGATTAACCATTCTGCAAGACAAATGATTTGTTTATCTCAAATACCTTCTTTAGCAGCATAAGAGACGACTATACACATGGACCTC